TGTGTGTGTGTGAGGGTTGGTGTGGAGTCGCCGGCCAGGGCGAGGGCCGTGGCGGTGCTTTTCCCGAGACTTGTGTTTGTTCCTTCCGTGTGTGTTGTGCTGCTTCTTGCTTTTTTCCCCTCACTCTCTTCTCCTGTTTTCCTGCGTGGAGTGGCTGCATGCTCACGGGCCATGTTGATTGTGAGTGCCTCTTGACGGCATCCATTCATCTCCCTCTCCGCCTCTCTGTCTGTCTGTCTGTCATTCCCTGTTGGGTGTGGCGTGTTGCACCGCATGAGGGCTGGCCCGCACACACCGACGGCCCGCCGTGACTTGCCGTGTTGCTGCTCTTTTCTGTGGGCGGTGGTTCTCCGTGCTGTTCCTTACGGGTTTTCTCGAGCCCCGCTCTTTGCGTGGGTGCTCGCTGTCTCACCTCTTTACTTGGCTTGTTTTCCCTTTTCCCTCCACTTCTTGAACACAGACACTCTAGGAAAGCAAGCAAACAAGCGCTAATCGCTACTGTGAAATTCGAAGGCACTGAAAGGACCAACAACACACACACACACCGTCCATACGCATATTTACATGCTCTCACGTGTTGCTGCAGTCAAGGCGCCCCGCACACACAACCGTTGCCGCGTGACCGGATCCAGGGGCAGGAGGAGGGAAGGAAGAGAGAGTGAGCTGCAGAGGCCCAGCATGTCCCGGCGTGTGTCTACTTCCGCGGTGCTGCTCCTCCTCGTCGTGATGATGTTCTGCAGCACCTGCGGAGCTATAGCTGCAAGGGAGAATGATGGCAACAGTGATTTAAGAAGTGTTCAGGAGTTGCAATGGGTCGATCTATTTGTGCCGCAGACGACGCCTGTTCTGCCGGAAGGTGGAGGTACTCCAGGGACGAAGCGGGATGCATTTGTTTCACCCTCTCTTGTCAGTGCTGGTGGAGTAATTGCTGCTTTTGCCAGAGGCAAAATAAATGCCCAATATGCCGCTGATGGTAAAGTAATTAAGCCACTTTCTTCTGATGTTTTTGCGGAGTACATCGACTCTGCGTGGGATTGGTCCACTCTTGTTGAAAAGGTGAGTGAAAGTACATGGAAGGCACACACCGTGCTTGATACAACGGATGGAACGAATCGTGTGGGTGTTGTGTTAAACCCCACAACAACAACGAAGGGTAATAAGGTGTTTCTTCTTGCGGCAAGCTATGACAGACTCAATCAGAGTGATGGGATTTGGAATTGGGACAGCCTGGATCTGAAACTGGTTGTGGGTGAAGTCACGAAGCCCACGGCGAGCGAGCCGAGTGGATGGATCACGTGGGGCCCACCCACATCATTAAACCAGACAACTTTAAAGACACCCAAAGCTGGATTGAAGGATTTTGCTTCTTCTGGTGGCTCAGGTGTTGTACTGGAGGATGGCACCATTGTGTTTTCACTGATGGCGATGAGTAAAGAAAATGGTGACGTTTACTCCATGATTACTTATTCGAAGGACAACGGCAGTACCTGGTCGCTCTCTGAGGGCATTTCCCCCGTGAACTGCACTGAACCCCGCATCACCGAATGGGAGGGATCACTTCTCATGGTTGTTGATTGCGAGAGCAGCCAGAGGGTGTACGAGTCGCGTGACATGGGGACAACGTGGACGGAGGCCATCGGGACACTTCCAGGCGTGTGGGTCAACTCACAATCGGAAGACTATCCGGATGTAAGCCTGCATGTGGAGGCCCTCATCACCGCGACCATTGAGGGAAGGAAGGTCATGCTGTACATTCAGAGAGGGAACTTCTCGGGGGAGGGAAACGCCACTGCGCTCTACCTTTGGGTCACGGACAATAACCGCTCGTTTTATGTCGGACCGGTTGCCGTGGACAATGCTGCGAAGTGGGAGCTCGCCAGCAGCCTGCTGTACTCGGACGGCAAGTTGCATCTTTTACAACGGAGGGACAGTGGTGAGGGCAGTGTCATTTCACTCTCCCGCCTGACGGAGGAACTGAAGAAAATCGAGTCTGTCCTCAGTACTTGGGCGCAAAATGACGCCTTCTTCTCCAGCTTGTCAATACCCACGGCGGGTCTGGTGGCAGTTTTGTCCAACGCATCGGCCAGTGACGACACGTGGAACGACGAGTACCTTTTCCTGAATGCAACGGTGACGAACGCGAAGAAGGTCGAGGATGGGTTTCAGTTGACGGAGCCTGACTCCAGGGTAATATGGTCCGTGAACACTCCGGATGATAATGTGCGTCATGTATCCTTGAGCCATAACTTCACACTTGTAGCGACGGTGACAATCGAAAAGGCTCCGAGTGAGGAAGCTCCTCTACTGGGTGCGATTTTGGGTGACACTAATTCCCCGCATACCATGGGAATCTTGTATACGGCGAATAAGACGTGGGAGACGATTTTCAAATACGAGACAAAAACAACAACGGAAAGTGGCACTTGGGAGCTTAAGAAAGAATACCAAGTGGCACTCATGCTGCAAGGCAACAAGAGCTCCGTGTACGTTGATGGCAAGTCGCTGGGGGAGGAAGAAGCGCTGTTAACGAGTGGGATGCCACTTGAGCTCGCAGGCTTTTGCATTGGCGCGTGCGGTATGAAAAACTCTCCTGTGACGGTGAAGAACGTCTTTCTGTACAACCGCCCACTGAATCCCACTGAGATGACTGCAATCAAGGACAGGAAACCCGTTCCAAAAAGAGCTCCGGAACCACAAGCGAGAGGTGTTTCTCAAACCATCGCATCTGCTGTGTCTGGCCCAGAGAAAAATTCCGCAGCTCCAGCGGTGCCAATGACATTGAACCCCCATGCAGTTGAAGAAGTGAGTGAGGGTGGAGCGGCAAGGAGGAATACCTCTCGGACTGAGGATGTGCAATTTGTTGTGCCAGAGGTGAGCTTGAATTCTGCTGGGAGCGGACTGCTGCCGCTTTTTCTGCTGTTGGGGCTCTGGGGGTTTGCGGCTCTGTGAGGAGTGTGCGGCCTCAGTGTGGGACACTTGTGCCGTTCCCTGCAGGACACACACACACCGCTAGGAATATATTTTACTTCGTGGAGAATAATTTGTTTTTGTTGTCTTTTAATGTTTTCCATTTTCCCCTTGCTGCTTTAGGGCAACCATTGTAAGCGTTTTTTTCCGGCTCTTAATTTTCTTTTCTGTTAGGAGTATAATTTCTCATGTTTTTTGTGTTTGTTTTTAATCATTTTTGTTTGCTTAAAAAATTTTTGTTTCTTTTTTCTTTTTTTTTTTCTCCACTCTTCCCTTCTTTTTTGCTTTTGGGGCAATCACTGTGGACTTTTTTACCTTTCTACTCTTCCCTCTTTTAATTGTTTCTTCTGCACTCTTCCTGCGAGGGGTGCCGTGTGTTTCCCGCCCAACTGCTCCACTCACACACCCACCGACACGCTCATGACGACGGCCCTGTGCGCCTCGCCTGCTGCACGCATGAGGAGGGGCCGCGACGAACGGCGCGCTGAGGGAGCCGTGACGTGTGGGCGTGCGACGAGGGCCTGTGGGGCGGAGCACACATTTCTTTCCCTCTTGTTTTGTTTTGTTTCTTGCGGCCAGGGCGGGCAGACACCCGCAGCGCCACACACAAAGCCACACCCTGCCGCCGCGTTTTTTTTTGTTTTCTTCTTCTTTTTTTTTTCTTTTCATTTCACGCGCTGGCAGTCCCGTCAGCATTTCTCTCCCTCCTGATAATTTTTTTCTTTGCTGCGCTCACTCCCCCGATGGAGTGACGCGACTGCCGTCATGTCTGCGTGCTTCTCTCAGTCCCCACACACACGAGTGACTGTGCTCTGCGGGCCGCACTCACGCACCAATAAAAGGACTGAGGGGAGCGGCAACACGCAGATGACCCCATGAAATATAAACGATGTGCGGTCACACGGAGGGTCGGACGGTTGAAAGACATTTAAATATCTTTTAATTTTATTTTAGGACAAAATGTATGCAGACAATTTCTGGAGCAACATGGTGGTTGGATGCTTTTTTGTGTGGTTTTTTATTGTGTGGGTGTAGCCGTAATAGGGGACGACTTTTTTTTCCAATTTTTTTTTTTCATTTTTTTTTTCAAAGTGTGAGGGGTTGAAAGGTGAGGATGATTTTTTTTGATTTTAATAATTTTTAATGAATTGCCGCTGCTTTGTCTGCAGTGCAATATCATGAGTTTGAGCAGTCTTTTTCCTTATTTCTGCCATGCACTTCTGCTGTACAGTTTTTGTTTGTGCGTCCCTTCACATGCTCTGCTACTGTTTTTACTTCTTTGCCTCGTGTGTCTGCAGGCACGCACAACCACATGCACGCACAGGATGCACATTGCAGTGGATTTGGATGCTTCTTTTGTGGCGTGTGCTGGCGATTGCGGGTGGCTGCTGCTTCCTCCGTGGGCGTGAAGGGGAGGAGGAGAGAGAGCGTGCACGGCGAGTCACTCTTCCTGCGGGTGTGATGCGCGCGGTGGGCTGCGACTGCTGTGGAGGACCGCATTCCTTTCGGTGTGCGCTTCTCCGCCGTTGTGCTGTGCGCTTGCACATGTCATTTGTTATGTGCGTGTGTGCGTGCTGGACATGTGTTTCCGGAGCGTTGGGCGGCCACCACCATTCTTTTGCGGCTTGTGTGAGTGGGCACGTGCGGATGAGGGTCAGGGCGCATGGAATGAAGGAATGGCGTGAGGAAAGGGGAATTTGATTTGGAGGGTGTTTGGACCGGATTCATTTGGCTGCGGTGGTCACATGCACGACGGATGTGTTTCCGCATAGTGGGGGAGGATGCGACAGGATTTTCCGAAGTGGCCCGTCAATGCAATTCGGGTTTCATAGCACCGAGGCAGAGTGGTCTTCCTGCAATGGCTGGTGAGGGCCTCAAGTGGACCGGTGTATTTATGCTGCTGCTGCTCGAGGAGGCGTAGAAGTGCGATTTGAGGTGAGCGGCGGAGGGGCCGCACATCCCGCAGTGATGGTCGTCGTTGGCCCACCGGGTGCCTCTGAAGGTTTTGTTGGGTGCAACGTCCCTATGCCCGTCTCTGGATGGCGACATCCCTGATGCAGCCAACGAACGGGGCTGCGAGCGACGGTGAGACGCAAGCACGTGTGGATGCTCGGAGCGGCCGGCGCACCGCACGCTAAGAGCATGGCACGGTGAGGGCCTGGCCTAGAAAAGGGACACCGCGTGGGACGTCAATCTTCACTGCAGCGACCGCCACCGAATTCGGATTTGCTCGCACCTTCCGCGGTCCCTCTTCCTCCCTCACTTCTGTGCCGAGGACTGTGCCGTGGGATCCGGCAGCGCGATGTTTGGCCGCAGGAGCATGGCCCGAACAAATGATTTGTGGGAGGGGATGTGCACTGCTACGAGAAGGAGAAAAATGTTGCTAGACGACCACCACTACCAGACCGGAGTGAAGTTGTTTTTTGTCCACTTGCGCGAGGGCGGCCTGCCACCTGGTCGGTTAGGAGGATTATTTTTTTTTTTGCGTCGTTGCGCTCTCTTTTATTCCGCTGCGTTTTCATGCGGACCTGCGAAGGGAGATTTGCAAGAAGTTCCTGCGAGGCGTCCGTGCCGTCGTCGGAAAAGCGGATTCCCCCTTGAAAAACGCTACTTTATAAATTTATTTTGGGCGGGGAGTTCCTGTCGATTCACTGCGACTTTGTTTTGCGGATTTGATGCGTGTGTTTCCGGGCGGTTCGATCTGTGCCCCCGGCCCACGCGGATGTGGTGTGCGCGTCGACGTGAGGGTGCCTGCCAGCGATTTATTGCCTCCCCCGCTGTGGCTGCCGCCGCTGTCTTCCTCCCTCCCTGAGGTCCTGCGGCTTCTTGACACGATGCTTTGGAGAAGGCGTTGCCGCTCTTGTCGTCCATGTTATTTTGATTCTGGTGTTGCGGTCAGGAGAAATTGAACGAGAGGGTTTGCTGCCCCCTTGTCTTGTTTGCCCTCTCTGCCTGACGGCCAGTTCTACACAAAAGTGCTCCTCGGCACCTCGGTTGGTGCTGGCGGGTTGCTCATAGTTGTCGCTGGCAATCGCATGCGCCAACTCTTCTCTGCTCCTTTTCAGTGTCGCATTTTTTTTTATTGATTGACGGACGCCATTCTGTCCGGCGTGCAAATTTGATTGGATTGTGTGGGACTGCTCGCCAACGCCATCGGAGAAAGCACACCGACTTTCCGCATATTTAATTCCATCTTGCGCGCAGGTATTTTTTCACATGTTCTGTTGGGCACTCAAACAGCGAGGTGTCCGGAACTGTGCGTGCGTGGGATTATTCCTGTCATGTGAGCTGCGGGCATCACCGAGGGGCAGCCACCTTGACTCCGCAGAGTTGTTGTGTCTCTTTGCGGGGTTGGCAGGGAAATTCCGTGCAGCCTGCTACTGCTGGTGTGTTCTCAAAAGCTGTCACTGCATGCGAATGATGTGGTTCAGCGAGTGAGGATGTTGATTGGGCTTGTGTGCACACTGGTTCTGTTTGCAGCTTTGTGCGGGCACGCAACACTTGAGTGGTGGGAAAATGGAGCGGGGCGATGCATGGCCGCGTATCGCTCATTGTTCACTGCACGATGGTGTGGTGCGCATTGTGGTGTTGACTCTGCGATGTGACTGCGGTCCCCTGCGCGGCAATGGTGGTGTGTGGAGGAGAGTGGTGACCCGCGGCGGGACGGTGGGATCGTGCCTCCTTTTCTATTTGTTTCTTTCCTTTTGTGAATGTGTGCACTTATTTTTGGTGTCGGTGATGGGGCAAACAGACCGACAAAGTAAATAAAGCAAAATAAAAAAGAACAATAGTGTGGCGGTGTTGGGGTTGGTTGCATGCCTCGCGTTGCTGCGGGGCGGTGGTCCTCGGCTGCTTCACCGACAGGCGTTGCAGTGCGGCTGCATGGCGCACCGACCACCCCGCCGTGCGAGTGCCACGCCCAACGCCATTGGGACTGCGAGACGAGACAGCCGCGACTGTCCTTTGGAGCCAGCGGCACCTGCTGGCCGCAGTTGGGCGGTGCGAGTGGGATGCCTCACCACACGGGTGTTGTGATGGCGCCTCGCCGTGGCTCTTGTGATGGTTCCGACGCTGCGGCTCGACATGTGTTGGGGAGTAAAGTGTGGCCGCAGTGGACCATGAGCAGCACCAACACGAGGCTGAGTGATTTCCTTTGGAATTATGTTGGCGGCAGGGCGGCCGTTGATGAAAGACTACAATGTGACGATGGAGGTGTTTGCTCAGGAGCCGGATGATTACGTACACGACCAGCGGCTTCTTGAAGAAATTCTTAACCTAACTGCGCACCAAGCGCTGGGGGCCATTGCCAGGCCTCTTCACGAAGGTGTGCTCTCTCTCGGGCAACGTAGGGACTATGAAAGAAAGCATACGATCACCCCTCTTGCAAGGGGAAAACCAAACGGAGTACTCACGCAGGTACTGACAGAAGCGAGGCGGGAGGCAGAGGAAAGGCTAAGACGAACGCAAGAAATGAAATTTATCATTTCCACTAATATCGAAGAGGCACTGTTTAAGGGAAGAGTTTGCGTCAATGAAATGAGGCTGAACGGCTTTCTTACGATGGAACCGGATGGCAGGGGCATTGTGGACACCAATCGGGATGTCTTGCTGGAGGAGTTTTTCAGGACCCCACGAAGTATATCCGTGATAAAGGAGCACTGAACGAGATACAGGCATCGGGTCATTGTTTGAGTATGAGGCGAGCTGTAAAGGGTGAATTGGTCTTCGACGAGGATATACGCAAGCTATGCGATAAGGGTGTCGACAATCTACCGGGGTGGTCATTGGCTGCTGTGGAGGTAAAAGCAGCTGTTCATAACTCCACCAAACATTTCTTGGATGCGGCTGCCGAGGAGGCGAGGAACCCAACGACGACGAGCGCACCGGAGAAACTGGAGGGAGTGTACGAGTCTGTGCACAATGCGGGGCGGGGCCATGCGGTGGAACTTCCGGACGGCGTGGAGCGAAAGAAAACGGGGACG